TATGTTCGATGACTGAAATTTATTTGACAGATTGTTGGTGAGGTGCCTAAATATCTATCTCTTCTATCTATACCGTAGTAATGAATGAATGTAAGGATCCCATGTCATTGATTATAATTTCTGATTTGTTGATTGGATATTTGGTAATAATAATAAAGTTTCGAACCGGATGCTGAGTCACGTTGCGAGTCTTATTTGAATCGGGCGATTGAAATTGATGAGAATAACCCAGAGGTGTATCAAGTGTTGGCCTCGGTACGATTATCACAACAACGTAATGAAGATGCAAAAATAGCATTAGAGAACAGTATAAATCTCTGGATTAACGCTGAACCGGGTATGTATAATAATAATGTCATAGTCTGTATCATGTGTTTCCCAAACTAAGCAATCAAACAAACAACTTTAAATAGATAATGCGATAATGCCAACATACGCCGCTCGCATTTCATTAGTAAAACTATTGCTCGAACTCTCCCAATATAATCGTGCGCTCACTGTGCTTGAAGGACTACAAAAAGAGGATGACGAAATGATCGAATTATGGTACCTCTACGGTTGGTCTTATTACTGTATGGGAGAAGACGCGTCAAACGACGAAGAGAAGTCTTCAAATTGGGAGGATGCACGGGATTGTTTGAACACGTGCAAACAGGTATATTTATTTTTAATAATGATGCAGAACAGGGACTTTCTTTTATCCCTAATACTTTTATCATCCTTCAAATATAGTTATCTAATAGATTTGAATCGGAAGATGATGGAATACGTCAGCACACTCAAGAATTGTTACAAACCATCAATGCCTTCCTGAAGCCGTCAACATCTGCATCCGAAGATGAAGTGCCGGATCAGGAAGTCGACGATGATGATGATGACGAAGAAGAATGGAAAGACTTGAGCGATGATGATGATGATGATGATGATGATGACGATGCTGATAAAATGGAGATGTGATAATAAACAGAACTAATTACAAAATAATGATTTTGTGATAACAAAACAAATAGTCAAAGAAAATCACATGTATTATATATGTTAATAAATATAAGTAGACCACTGAAAACAAATTCGACTCACGGGAAAGAGAGTAGTGGCTTTGGGGCTCGAGAGATACGTTGCTCCATATTACTATTCCTTGATTGAATGTGACTGGCTGACTGACTGAATTGATGCTATTTTCGTGAATGATACAGATATTTTATTTGCACTTTTTGTTTGTTACTACAAATTATAGTAATAATAATAATAATAATTCTTACTAAAAAGTAATCCCAACCATTATATAGTAGATATAAGCAAGCCCATTGCAGTAGTATCCCACTTTTGATTGGGTTTCTACTTTTTTTCTCCCGTCTACTCCCTCACTTTTTCTCTCATATACAGGGTTGTTTTCTCGCAATAGATGTGGTATAAATAGTAGTAGTAGTAGTAGATGATGCACGTAACAAATGCAATGTTTAATAATGAGTTGGTGTCATGAATCACTATATTCTGAGTCGCCGTCTGTTAACACCCCTCGTAGGATTTCGTTTAATAAATCACCAAAATAAGGATAATCTCCCGGATTTGAAGTAATTTCTAACCATCCTCGTGTTTTCTGAACACTCCTGAAATTTTGCACCACATAGTTCATCACGTGTTCCTTGAGCTCTTCGTATTGCCATGCTAACAAAAAAAAGGGAGAGAATTAATAACTTAAAATATAAACAGAAAATCATTGAGATGAAAATTACCAGTTCCAAATAGGAATTGAGCAGCATTCTCAATATTGACACTTTTGCACAATTTTACTTTAGCGATCTGTTGCAGCGTGTCTATGAGATATTTGTCCGCAATCTTGTAGATATCAATTGCGCTTCGGTGTGAATCTTCTCGCCCGAAAGCCACCTGATTCGTGTATAGGTAGCGTAACATTTCGATAAACGTGTTAGGATGAAAGTCCATGACATGAATGACAATTTTTTCATTGGTCTTTTGCACGAGCTTCATGTCATCAAGAGTATTCGCAAGGATGTCCGTTGACATATTGTCCCTCGTGCCAAACTCATCCAATCTTTTTCGTTTAGTATTTGTATTATATTTTGTAATATCTTGTTGCTGTTGTGGTGATGATGATGATGATGATGATGATGATGATGATGATAATGATGCTGCTGCTGCTGCTGCTGCTGCTGTTGTTGTTGTTGACGATAATAATGATGATGATTCTGTCGCTGCTTGAGTTGATGATGATGACATTATTGAGGTGGGAAAAAGCGGAATTAATGAAGATATTGATGATGATTTTTGTTGAGCTATCATTTGAAGCTCTTGTGATGTTATTGGCAATTTTTTTAGCTGTGCTTGTGGTGATTGCTGTTGTTTCTGTGAAATTTTGTGATTATTGTATGCTACAGATTCAATCCATTTCCCTTCAAACATCCTCTTAAAATACTGTGATCGTTTGGATAGTATCGAGGTATTTGCATAGATAGAGACTCCCTGTACTCTAAATTCGACATCAGCAGTTTCAAGTTTATTTAGCTGTTCACCCCAAGCCTGTAAAAGATCATTAGGAAATGGTTTACCATTCCCAGGAAAAGATGGCTTCAGATCATTCGGCTGAAATTCCGTAGTATCAAATTCTACCCCGAGAATTAAATCGTCGTATATCATTAGACTTTTCTTACAAAATCTGTTCCAACCTATTATTGCGAAGATGTTATCGAGGTTATAAGGCATTCACTCAAGAAAATCAAAGGATCGAGTGTATAAACGTAAACGATACATGCCTCTTAATGGTTTTATCGCGGAAAATTTGCTGGTATCCAGACTCATTTTCTTGATTATAAGAAAGGTTCTCGGGTTCTTTAGATAAATATCAGCGGAATATTGTGCTCGATTCGGCCATGTCGACGTTGTGTTCACCTCTTCTTGGTTCGGAAGAGCCACTAAGTATACAGAACAATGTTCAGGGTAATCTTGAGATGTCTATTATGATATCGATATAATCATAAAATGATTATTGTTAAAATTATTTTTCTCATAGATTAATAACGGAAAAAAGAAGATTAGTTCACTATGCAGATTAAATATCATTAATGTACAGCAATAGCGACAGCAGTAGTGGTGGTAGGAAAATGAAACCGATTTGGTGGTCTTGTATGGTCCAAGCGTTGTTATTTAAAGGTTTCTTGCTGCAGTTTTGTTTTTTTTTTGTTGTTACTTTTTTTCTTATATAATACATGTGAATATACATATAACAAATACTTGACTAGAGACCAGGATTCTCTCTCGGTATTATTATTATTTATAGATAATGACTTACTGGCTTAAACTTCAATTGCCAAAATGTATCATGACTGGTTGCGAAAGGAGGACTATAGACCTTTGGGGGAAGCTTTGAAAGATCTTGTAGAGTAAATTCGAAACAGCTCTTTGCCTTGATAGACATAGTATATTATACTGAAGTTATAGTAGCCGAAGTGATAGGCTTTGATATACGTACGCACGAGAAGTTTGGCCGTTGTAAAGTTATGCTAAAAATCGTGAGAGAATTTGCTGTAAATTTTTATTTATGGTAGAAGAATGTCGATATTATTTCACATTTTATTACTTTGTTGTTTTGTGCGTGTGTGAGTCAGCCAAAATGAGTCGGATGGGTTGGAATCAATCAACTTTTAGTTAAAACTGACCAGGATACGCCGGCACTCAGATGCCAAAAAAAGAAATTGAAATGACGGAAGAGAATGTAACGAATACGATTGGGTAGAAATTACGTCATTATCAGTATTGCATTGTGTGAGATGAGGATAATGGTATTATCAAATCTTTTCCTAAAATAGAGAGAAGACTGAATTAAACATTATTATAAAGATGATACCATCAAAAATCGTTAAATAATTTGTTGCTATAACGATAACTTTTCAAAACCAACATATACAGGTATTTCTTGCAGATCCCAAATTATCGCAACAAACAATAACATTGACATAAATATTAATGATTTCCACGGATGTAATTAATTAATTGACGTGGAATTTCAGAACGATCCGGATATTCTGCCATTAAGGTAGAATAGTACAAATATAACTTTATTGAAATGCTAAAATTAGTTGTGTTAGACGTGATCATACACCTGCTGCTTTGTATGATCATTTGCTGTTAGGTTTTATTTTATTGATTAAATTAAGGAAATTAAGGACAAAAACGTGCTTTTTCAATAATTCTATAAATCATTACTCTCTCGTGGTCCTAAAACTCGATTAGATGCCATGAATCTTTTATTATCCAATGCCATATTAATCGTGTAAATAAAAATTATCAATATAAAAATGTATTTTATCAGCATTGTGAAATAAGATAAAACTCACAAAGCTCCTTGCGCAATCCCAAAGTTCTCAATCATTCTCAACCGTTCCGCGGTGGTTTCGACATGTTTTTCCAGTTTCGCCATGTTAACTTGAAGATGCTCAAGTTGCAAGTTTAAAGCGGCGTAGTGTCGCTGTTTTGTCACTGCGTAATGGCTGTGGTGAGCATTGAAGCCAGTGACGGGTGTAATTTGGAGAGGATTGTTATTATTCATGTTGGTGGAGATTTATATTATCGTTATTAAAATTTGACGCGTAACATCCAAGAGAAAGTGCTAATTTAAAGTGTAATTAATCACGTGAAATCACTATGATAGTTCGATCGATTAGGTTTTTTTTTTTTACTTGTTACTTTTCGCTAACTCAAACAAATAATTATGTGAATAAACTTGACAAGGCTACAAGGTAAGCTACAGAGCAAAAATATATTTATAAGAAATCTAATCGTTGTGATGAGCAAACATTTCTCAGACCTGTTCCAAGTCATTTTTTGACTGTGCGGATAATGACTCGCCTATGTCAACTTTCTGATCTTTATAGTAAATTAATTTATAAATATAAAGCAAGTATAAATTAATGAATTATTTTGTTAATTTATTATAAATTGAATTAGATTCCGCCCTTGAAAATCTACTTTTATTTATTAAAAAAGCGAATATGCGTTTCTTGGGGATCGTATCAATTCTCTATAACCATTTATTTCGAATTGTTGAGGAAGAAAAGCCAGTGAGAAAAAGTTGAATAGGTTGAAAGGAAATCGAAAACTATGCGATTGATAAATTTTGGATTGGACATCCTGTTCCTGGTATTAAAAATAAAATTTATATAATTTACCTGATGATAAGACTATCGAGACTATTTATTACTTTTTTTGCATTAATAGAAATGATAAAGAAAAAAAATCTAATAACAAGAAAGATAATAACGGCGCACAAGGGGAAGAACAAGATTAAAGTGGCTGGAAGAAGAAAACCATGACGAGGACAATGCTAAAATGAACTTATAAAAGACGATACCAGAATATTAGTAATTCTTTGAGTACAAGAACACCAGACGAGCATTCTCTGAATGTTGTTTAAAATTGCCAATGACACCTGATTTGTGCAAAAAAATGTTACAGATTATGCACAAGAAAATAATTCTGTATATGTTAACAGCCAGCAATATTGATGGACTTTTTTGACAGACTTTTATAATACTGATAAATTAGTAAGCATATTGGCACTGAATGATCTTTTACATTGATTCATGAACGTAATCTGTGGGTTTTTCCATTTTCTTTTTTAGTTTGAGTCTCATAGTTATTGCTTTTTATTCAATAATTTGTTTATTTTCTAACACAAATAAACAGGGATTACCCAGATTTTTATAAGAAACTGTACGGATTGTTTGATCGAAATTTAATGCACGTTAAATATTGATCGCGTTTTTTCCATCTTGTCGATTTATTTCTTGCACTTGCGTCCGTATTACAATCTCGAGGATTTTCTCAAGATTAATATATTATTTTATAGATTCTTCAAAACAAAAATCAAACGAAGCATTAAAAGATGAATAATAACAAAAGCAATAATAGAATCTCAATACTTGCTTTTGCAAAAACCGAAATATTTATTCCTTCTACACTAATAATATTAGCAATAACGAAAGTATCAAGATGACAACAGCGAAGAAATTCATACATTAGATTCTTCTTATGTTGGTGATAATATGTGGAATTTGATGAGTTTCTCTAAAAATGATGTGTAACCATTATAGAAATAGCACCTGATTGTTTGATTAATGACGCGTATAAAGAACATCACGATAATAGCATTTATCCGTTCACAAAATATCTGAGAAGTCGCATTAGGAATCTTTCAGATCCTTGAATGATGATGCTGATGATGGTTAGCTTCCGCTTTTTGGCATTGATTAATTTCTCAGAAACGTGCTCCCTGATAACTAATTTTAATCATGAATCTAATAAAGGTTGGCTGTAAACCGAGATTTAATCACCCACATAGTAGTAACTGACAGCTTAAGATTTTGACAAATGAGCTAAATTTTCCGCATTACTCTCCCAATTCTAGATGAAAAAATTAAAATCATTACCTTTCTAGCGAAAAAAAGTATTTGGGAAGAATTGATGTGAAACTTTACCTGTCCATCAAATTTTACAACAGTGAAAGATTCCACGGTGTCAGGATCGATGCAACGAAAGTTTATCTTTTTTGTTATTTAAATTTCAATAATTAATTTTTGAGGCGTAAAAGATTATGATACATATTATACATACATCCCATCCATCAGGATTGGATCGCGGTATATAGCTAACAAAGGACAATCAAATTGAAATAAAATCAATTACTCGAATATTAGAAAATCAAACATTTGTTCTCATCTCTTACAATGGTGAAACACCACAAGTATTACAGAAATAGTGTTTCGCTACATGTGTATTGAACGTATAAACCGATAAATCATCTTTTCCTTGTAAAATACGGAATCGTGAATTCGGGACAATCAGATGCAGGAATCCTAATAAAAAATTTCGAGCATGATATGATCAATAATTTATATGATATGATTAATAATTTATATGATATGATTGAATAATTTATCTGAACATTTTAGACAAGAGTTACCTTTTTTGGTACATATCGAACAATTACAATCTTGTACTTCTAGTATTTTAGGCGCATCTACCTGAAATATAACTTTTTTGCAGTGACAACTTCCGGTATGCGTAACAAATGATTGATTCGATTCGTTATTTAATGTTGTCATATTATGATTTAATTTTCAGTCAAAGCTATGATCGTCTTGTATCCTGGCCTGCACAATCTGTGCAACGCAGATTTGTTTTTTTTTTGTAAATCTTCGTGTGGTGTTGAGTCGGGAATTTTTATCGTGAGAAATCTTCCTATTCGCCTATCCAGTTAGCAAGAATACGTGCATTACACGCGTAAGATATACATGTCATTCGCTTCTGACCTTATAAATCATAAACGATAATAAAAAACATTAAACTAACATTTCGGTCTAGTTCATACGTAATGTGTAAAAGTACAAAACAGATCGAATCGGAAAGGGTGGCACGATGAGACGGGCAAATAATGCCCTTAAACTAAATATTGCGCCGTAATCATTGTTGTTGCACATGCAATAAGCTATTGAAAATGACAACGAAGATATGAACATCACCGCTAAAAAATTTACAATATGCACATATTTTAAAAAAATAATTAAAATTTGTCATGACGATCTAACGATAAACGTTACCTATTTTCGAGATAGATATTAGATAATTAAAAATATGTATTCAGATAAATAATAATCAAGATAATGTATCTATCACTATCTTGTTGAATATGGATTTATTATTATGGACACATGTATCTAATTGTTTCAGTGCACCGTTTAAGTATATATTAAATATGTATATAGATTTAGACTATAGAAACACGGCCACGCGTAAAAACCGAAACTAATCCGAAGCTCTTTACTAAATAACTCCAAACCCGAAACGATATGATATTGTTGAGTTTAGGCAAAGCTTTGGTAAAGGTTAACCAAAGGGGATTAACTAGTTTGATCAAAAGAAATGTTTATTAAAGAATGCCTTCTTTAATGTTACGTAATGCATATATATAAAAAAAATTTTTTTAAGTGCTTGAAAAAACTGGTTAATAAATGAGACTGTCTGGGATTGGAATGATTTATAATTTAATCTATAAAAAGGAACTCAATTTCAAGAAATGAAAAAAGTCGTTAACATAAAATCGGTAGTTTTGTTTTGTAATTAGAAAAACTGAAGCAGCATTTCATTAAAGTACTATTACATTTCTAATTTTAGTATGCAAATAAAAACAGAACACTAGAGCTAACTATTCAAGTAGCAGTAATACAAATATTATTAAAGATATTTTTAACGTATAGTAGCCTCCCCTACTTTACGTAGTTCTTCAAGAGGACTATCCGGAATTTGTTCGTTTGGTTTGGTATTGGTCAATTGTGGATCACCCTTCCCATATTTTTTAGCTTCTTTGGATTTTGCAGTTGATTTATCTCCATCTTTTTCGTCGTGCCTGCTAATTTATCAGGAAAATAAATAATATGAATTAATAAAAATAGCAAACTAAAATAGAAAAATTTTACCTTTTAGAAGTTTGCCATTCTTGTTCTTCCTGCTTTACTGTATCTCCTGTAGCTTGTGAAATATTCTAAATAAGATAAAATACATTAATTTTTGTAAACTTAAAAACAAATCAAATTGAACAGGCACATACTAATTGACCCACTTGATCTTGCATTCCCTACAAGGATAATTTTAACAGTTAGAAAAATTGAAAATTTTCTATTTTTCAATCAATAACAATTTAGAACTTACAATATTAGCATTAAGTTTTTCGCCTAAGCTTTGCGCGCTTTGTTTTGCTTGCTGTCCTTTTTCTTGGAGATTTTCTTTTATTTCACCGCCGGTCCCCATGATATTTTCTTTTAACTGCTGTGTTTTACCTTGAACATTTTCTTTAGCTTTTGCTCCCTTCTCTTGTATATTCTCTTTGGCTTCTTTTCCTTTCTCCATGACGTTTGCTTTTACATCGCCACCGGTTCCTGTGATAGTTTCTTTTAATTTCTGAGCTTTATCTTGAACATTTCCTTTTAATTGTCCTCCTTTTTCTTGAACAGTTTCTTTCGCTATTTGTCCCTTTTCTTGTATATTTTCTTTGGTTTCCTTTATTTTTCCTTGGAGATTCTCGCTAGTTTCTTTTCCTTTTTCCACGACGTTATCTTTCGCTTCTTTTCCTTTTTCTATTGTCTCACTACCGGCTCCCATGATGTTTTCTTTTAGTTGTTGAACTTTATCTTGAACATTTTCTTTTAATTGCTGAGCTTTATCTTGAACAGATTCTTTTAATTGGGTTCCTTTCTCTTTCATAGTTTCCTTAACTTGTTCTCCTTTATCGCTCACTCGTTTCGCTTGTTCCATAGAAACATCACGCATGTTAGCGGTGGTTGAGTTGTCGATTTTTAATTCATCCTTAATTGCATCTTTTAATTGTTGACTTCTGTCTTGAACATGTTCCGTTAGTTGTTCAGATCTACTGGGAATTTCTTCGTATGCCTGTGTGTTTTCTATTGAAGCTTTTGGAGCAGCTTCGTGTTGTTTCTCTTTTAAATAGTTTGCACGTCCTTGAATTCCTTTTGCTGCGGCCACAGATTGAGTATCTGATCCTTCAGGTCGCATCATTTTTGCAGCAGTATTATAAATTTTGTGTTTCACATTATCCACGATCTCGGGAAAAGAAACCGTCGATAGTATTGATTTATCATCCGAGGTATCCTTTTGCTGTTGTTGTGGCGGTAAATCATCCTTAGTCAAGAATTCGTGTGCTTTATCGACCGTGTGTCCTTCCGTTAATGGTTTATCACGCGTACGACCGGCCCCGAGTGCTTCCTCGTCTTTTGGTCCAAGTGCGTAGAAAGGTGCACTTGGCTGTTGCTGTTTGTTGTGATGATCTTGTAGCTTACCACAGCATCTGTTACTCTCGTGAAAGAAACGTAATGGTGTTTTTTGATGGTTATATACGATTGAAGATTTGGTAGTGGTAGTAAGCGATTGTAGATTATTGTGAAAACGACGATAATTTTGGTATAAACGAGGACGATGTAAAGAGTTTAATCTCATCATTGTGGTTGTTTTTGGAACTGATAAAACGCGACTTTTCATTTATAGTTGGTTGATTTTTATGAGCGCAAGGATTTATATTCAATTTTACAAGAAAAATAATTGTGAAAAAAGAAGACATTAATCGATCTCGTTGTTTATAAATTTGAGGAGTCTATATATAGAGTATTTCGAAATCAATCAACCTATTTTTTTTTTTATAGTGTCTACTTGCCGTTAGTACAATAAAATAGAGTAATGTTTATGTAATTCACGCGTCATGGGAATTTATCGTGTGTAAAATATTGACACTCGGATCCATAGCATAAACACGTGACTATCTATCCATTATTTTTTCTTAAATTTCAGTAATGCCGAAATAGTTATTGTAAAGGGAGGGTAGGATATTATGGTGAAGTAGTTTCTAATATTATAAATTTTTTATTTTCAAAATTTATTGAAACAAATTAATTTTCGGAATTACATCTCGAACTCCAGTCTATTAAAACTGGTGGATTAAAAGGAAGGTCCATTGAATAATAATAAAATGTTTGTTATAATAGATAAATATTAAAGATTTTGTCGCAAAGACATATGATTGTCTTTAAAACTGTCATTTATATATTTTAGTCTGCATACTGTTTTATTCAATGAAACAAACATAATGCGCAAGCCTCCCTTTTCGAGTTTTTAACTGCAAACAAAAATTTTTTATGTATAACAAGCATAACCTCACCCGAAATTTATAAAAAATATCATTATAATTAAACGGGTTGTGTTGTTGAGTTTTGCTCCACATTTTGCTATTTCGAAGAAATCCCTATTCTCAAGAAATAATTTTAAATTAGAAAATAATTACATCTTATAATTCTCTATCCAGTTGGGTGAATCAATTAATCAGGTGAGTTCCTAAATAAATAATTTCCACGGTTATCTCGTTATTCGTATTTCGTAGAATTTACAAAATTGGATGCCGCTAGTTTCTACTACGCCTCCAGAAGGTAATAAGAGAGCGTCTTTTATTATTTATTTTTCCTCAAATTATATCTTTCACGAAATGACAGAGGATTTCATTTAATAAATTCGCATCAAAATGAATACAAATCGTTATAATTAAAAATGAAAGTTTATTATTGAAAAACTACTCTAATACAAATAGAATGAATTGCCCTACATATTCATTCCCCTTAGTCTCATCATTCCCTTTAATTTCATCATCGTTCCTTTTCAATCCCATCATCGTTTACCCCATTAACACCAACCATCTATGATACACACATTAATTAGTAATATTAGACGACATCCCTTCCTTTTGTATCAATGTGAATTTGAATTTCTAGTGTTACATCCTATAATGTATACTTTATTTCGTTCAACGTAGAAAAATTGGTTAATGGCCGAAATTACATCGATTCCATGTGGTATTTATTATGCCCGAGATTACATCCTCGCTTCTTTTGATTTCTGATGTTACATTAATTTTCAGGATTCATCAAAGCAAATTTCTTGAATCCAGTCAATCCTCGTTAATATGACCAAACCGAACACCATTATGACATATTAGTTATAACATTCTCCCTTTTTTTGCATTCCAACAAAATGTCATATTAATAATGACTGTGTAGCTCAAATATATTAAATATCTATTTCAGAATATGATTCACGTGAAAATTAAACTGCCAATCATTTATTAAGAATCAGAAGGTAGGTAATAATGATTCGAAATGGTCCAAACCCCCTTCCTCCTCCTAGGGAAATTACCTCGATCGATGAAATCTAGCATTGATTGCTTTGTATGACATTGAACTAGAAAGATTTCATAAAAAAGTTACATGTAGAATGAGAATTGTGATCAACCTCCTCACCCCCAAAAAGATGAACAAAGCTTCACAATAAATTTAATAAATTTCAAATTTAATGTTTTGTGCGTGGAGTTGATCATCTAACCAATCCTACTATCCAATCTATCCAATAGATCTTAAAAAGCTGAATGATTTGATGAATTACAATTTTAAATTAATTACAGTCGATTATTCTCTCCTTTTCTCTTTTTCTCTCGCCACATCAAGTAATGGTAATGGTACGCATCGACATTGGTAGTTTTTTTATGGTTATTGATATTCCCTTCATTTAACAATAAATGCAGCAAATCATCTTCCCAAAAAAGCCTTAGACCCTATATACCCTATATATATAATAATTGTTAATCCGATCGGACATAAAGAAATATTTACAATCTAAATATACACTAATCATCGTTTTATCTTATGTAATAATATAAATAAATATAAATATAGCAGTTCGTTTAGAAAATACACCACATCAATATAATACATTTCCTTTTCACAGTGCGGGAAAAGAAAAACTAAAAATAAAAGAAATATTGTGAGAACAAAAAAACTTGGATTGGGGAATATCAACATCAGGAGATTAATTATTTATAAAACCACAAACCACCAAGGAAAATGCGCTCTTTTCAAAAGTCATAATTCCACACTCTATTTATTTGTTCATAGTAAATTTTATTTTGAGAGAGAAAAAGCATTTTATCAAGGACCAAATATATACAATAAATAATAGTTATGTCATCTTCAAATAACAATAATGAATATACAAAAATAAAAATCGATAACGATAATGAAGACGGGGTAAAAACATCCTTGGCAATTATTGGCGGTAGTAATAGTGGCAGTGTTGGTGGTGGTGCTAGTGCTAGCGCTAGTACTAATACAAATATAGAGAGGTATGCACGTCCAAGGCCTCCATCAATACCTCAACGAGTGATGGAAAACGAGAATGATAGTGTAGCATCAACAGCAACAGCAACAGCAACAGCAACAACAGTGGGTATATCTACAAGAGTTCGTCGTGGAACAGGAACGGTAGAATTTGCTAAATTGCCAATAGTTGTTGAGAAAAGAACTAGTAATCCGATGGAACCACAACATCAACGTCGTCGTAGTAGCTTAGTACAAAAAAGTGCCAGCATTCGTAGAACAGCACGTCGCTTAAGTGTTTTAATAACTGGTGGAAGCGACGATGATAATCAACGTACAATCAAATTATCACCAGAAGATAAGCTAATAGACCATACAACCGAGAATTCATTCATAGATAACTCAATTACGACGGCACGGTACACTTTCTGGAACTTTTTGCCGAAACAATTGGCTGCACAATTTTCCAAAGTAGCAAATTTATATTTCCTGTTCGTCGCGGGATTACAAATGGTTCCTGGCTGGTCACCAACTGGTCAATTCACCACCATCATTCCGCTAAGTGTATTCATATCGATAGCTATGGCACACGAAGGATTCGACGATATACGCAGACACCGACAGGACAGTGTCGAGAATAATAAAGATTGTTCAGTGTTGCGAATAATAAAAGACAATCTAACTGGTCAATACGTGGGTGTTTGGGATACGAAGAAATGGAAAGATGTAAAAGTCGGTGATTATATACGTGTTCAAGCGCAAGAATGGATTCCGGCCGATTTGCTGTTATTACATTCGGAGGGAGAGGAGGGAATCTGTTATGTGGAAACTGCTGCTTTAGACGGAGAGACAAATTTAAAGCAGAAACAAGCATTGAAATCGACCAATGATCTATTGCATAACAAGGAAGCTTTAGCGAATTTTTGTGGTAAGGATTTTTTTTCTTTTGAACTTGATAAAAAGAAAATTATCTAATATTTTTTGAAATAATAAAGCTGAAGTAATCACCGAAAAACCGAATCAAGATCTATACAACTTCGACGGGTCAATAACATTATCAAATGGAGAAAATTTACCCCTGACAACAAACCAAATTCTTCTACGTGGAACCATTCTTCGTAACACCCCTGAAGTATACGGTGTGGCAATATTCACTGGCGAAGAAACAAAACTTCGAATGAACGCCTCAAAAAATATTCGCACCAAAGCTCCCTCAATACAACGACTAATCAATCGAGTCGTAGTTATAATATTTAGTTTTGTGGTAATTCTGGCCGCGTCCTTTACGCTTTTAGCACATTTCTGGGAGAAAAAAAGTGCTAAACATGCGTGGTACTTTGAAAATTCAATACACAAAAGTGATACGGCGGTTTCGTTGTTTGGATTCGTGGTGCTTTTTAACACGATGATTCCAATTTCGTTATATGTCACAATGGAGATTATCAAATTGGCGCAAACTTACTTTATTAATAATGATATACAAATGTATCATGAACCGTCTGATACGCCGGCCGAAGCGAGAACATCGACGATCAATGAGGACTTAGGCCAGGTATCATATGTTTTTTCGGATAAGACTGGAACTTTGACCGAAAATATAATGTTGTTCCGGAAGATTAGCGTTGGCGGTCGTGCTTTTTTGCATGACATGGATATCAGGAGAATTGAAGAAGATGAGTTTTTCGAAAAGTTGAAAAAGGCTCAGCAGAAAAGATTGCATTATCGAGTTTCTTTACGAAATCGAGATTCTCATTCTTTCAACGATGATTCTCAGGATGCAACCCCAGAGACATCTGATAGTGTTAGGAGACGTGGTTCGACAAGAAGCGGACATTTTTCAATGATTGCTCCTATGACAAATACAAAATCACCATTATATGCTAGTAATTCGTTGTCCTCTTCGAAATCGTTAAAAGAAGGGAAACACAAAATGCATTCAACGCTTGATCTATTGACGATAATACAACGTCAAAGTCATACACCGTTTGGCCGGTCTGCTCGATGGTTTCTTCTCGCTATCGCATTATGTCATACTTGTGTACCAGAAATAGATCAAGAAACAGATGAAGTTTTCTACCAAGCTGCCTCACCTGATGAATTTGCTCTAGTCACTGCTGCCAAAGAACTTGGTTACGTGGTGATTGATCGTACAATGGGAACTGTTTCATTACGTATAAATAATGATGGCCCAAACGGACTAATAGAAGAAAATCAGTCGACCACGTCATTTGAGAAATATGAGATTCTGAATGTGATTGAATTCTCGAGTAAGCGTAAAAGAATGTCGATTATTTACCGACTGCCCGATGGGAGAATCTGTTTATTATGTAAAGGTGCTGACTCGATAATAGTAGAACGTCTAAAGCCTCTAAAGAATAATGGGAAATCACATGATGATAAAAAGAAACGATATTCTGATACAACAATCTCTGAAGATATTTCCGATTCAGGATTGATGCCCGATTATTTCCCAATTAGAGATGAAGCTTGGAAGTATAAGCAGACAATGTACCATATTGAAGATTTCGCCACTGAAGGTCTACGAACTTTACTTTACGCGCATCGATTTTTGGACGAAGAAGAATATGCGCAATGGAATAAACAATATACAGAAGCATCAATGGCAATAGTAGATCGACAAGCGAAACTTGAAGAAGTTGCCGACAACATTGAATATAACCTCGAGTTGACTGGAGCTACCGCCATTGAGGATAAATTACAAGAAGGTGTGCCACAGACTATCGATAAATTGCAAAATGCCGGGATTAGAGTTTGGATGCTGACAGGTGATAAGCGCGAAACTGCCATCAACATTGGACATTCCTGTTCTTTAATCAAGGATAATTCAACACCTATTATTATTGATTCTGATTGTAATTTGAAATCATTTATGGATAAGACAATCAAAGACATTAAGAGTGGTAAAGCGCAACATCCAGTAGCCGTAGTTGATGGTGCCACATTAATGCTAATCGAGAAAGATTCTCAATTAATGAAAGCATTTTTCGAATTGGGAATCATATGTGACGCAGTAATTTGTTGTCGTGTTAGTCCAAGTCAAAAAGCACTAGTGGTACGAAGTGTTCGCGAAAGGTTGAATCATCACGTGACACTAGCAATTGGCGACGGCGCAAATGACATAGCAATGATACAAGAGGCACACGTCGGAATAGGGATCACTGGCCGAGAAGGACTGCAAGCGGCAAGATCAAGTGATTACTCGATAGCACAATTTCGATTTCTTTGCGATTTGTTATTTGTACATGGACGATGGTCGTATATTCGTGTGTCAAAATTTGTACTTGGGACTTTTTATAAATGCATGTGTTTTTATTTGACTCAAGGACTTTATCAATTTTTCACTGGTTTCTCTGGTACTAGTTTATATGAACAATGGACACTTTCATTCTATAACACGTTATTTTCTTCACTACCTGTTATTGTAATCGGGATGTTTGAAAAAGACTTAAAAAGAAAGACACTACTCGCCTTTCCTGAATTATATTCCATAGGTCAAACATGTTCTGCATTTAATCTGAAAAACTTCTTTTCGTGGATGGGTGCAGCGGTATATCAAGCGATAGTGGTACTCGCTGTCCCGTTTATATTACACTCTTACCTCTTAGGCTACGAAATACGAAGTGAGGGATCTCCACAATTATATGAACTAGGCCTACAAGTGTACACAGCTGTAGTCTTTGTGGTCACGATAAAAATTGCATATCTCGAGTGTCATAATTGGACCATTATCACACATATCACATCTTTTTTGACGATGCTCGGTTGGTTCCTCTATCAAACTCTATACTCGATATTGTACCCATCGAACACCAATGCTGGCGTCACTTATGATGTCCAGGGTACATTCCAGAAAATCGGCATACGACCCGAGTTCTGGGTTAACATCATGATCACGGTTGCTATTGCGTTACTCCCAAATTATTTGGTGAAGATTATCAAGGCAATAACGCTTCCCACCGACGTGGATATTTTTCAAGAGAAGGAACGTGATCCCGATTTTCGAAAAAATATTACTCAATTGGAAAGTGGCTTTGGTATTGGTGCTGGTGTTTGTGGAGATGATGATATTGATCATGATAAGGAATTCTCAAAGTTTGGAAAGTATATTAATAGATCGTCGACTTATAGTATCTTCACTTGTGAAGGTAGCAATACTGCAACAACAGCCCTTGCTTCTATTAGTAACACTACAACGATGATTGACAACAGCAACAACAACAATAACAACGATAATAATAGCAGTACTCATCAACACCAGTAGCGAGAACATCGGCAACACAATCAGAACATTATCCATGCAACAAAAATCATCTTTTACCATCTCACTGTTAAATTGTTTTCAGATAATGGGAGTTTATAATAGAAAATATAGTTTTTTTTCGATTAATACATTGTAAAATATAAATAGATATATATATATATAAAATATATATCGAAAATGGATTTTTGGGTTGGATAGATTTATTACTAGATTTCCCATACATAAAAAAAACCTCATGTACACATTTAAACTTCAATTTTTACCACATATTGTACGTTAATCCACATTCCTTATAAATTGTTAATTATTTATTATAACAGTCTTTTAATTTATAAATGCCTCAATAAAAAAATACTCAGATTATTATTTCCAAGGTTTTTAATTATCCATGAAAAAAGCATTCACTTTTTTTAGTGTTGCACGTGATGGATTTGCCTTTTTTGTTCCAAAAGTAAATTATTAATTATGCGAGTAATTATTAATGATAATTAAACTAATTTAATCACCTTATTGCGATAAGAGGTGATAAAGAAAAGACGCCGTTGAATGAGATCCTTTGTGACAACTTTAAAACTTTATGTAAGCATATAATAATATTTGAAAAAGAAAGAAACGTTTAAGGTACCTTCATGATCGATTCCATTTTCTATATATTTTTCTAAGAATGCACAATAAAAATTAAAATTAAAAATAAATATTTAAATTCCAAGGAATCAAAATTAGATCAACCAACCATTATCATCAAAATAATTGACCAAAACTGCCAACGCAATTCCAACGCTTCGATCAACTCCCTGCTCACAATGAATTAAGATTCGTTGATGTTCCATAAGTGGTATCTTTAAATAATCTAGAGCTTTTGGAATCATCTCAAACAAGATATGTTGTCCCTTTTTGCCTTCTGGAATTGGTAATTGAAGATAATTTGTTTTATTCTCGGAGCTTATGTCTGTTGATTGGATTATTGTTGATGAGTTGGTGGAGGTATTGTATCCCTGAGGCGTGCAATTTATTATGTAATCAAAATACCGCCAGCATAGTGGTGGACAACCTTGTCAGTTATTTAATATTATACATTAGTAGTTGACGAAATAAATCTTTTTAACAAACAATTTTGCTATTGATTAATGAATAGCATGAAATTACCACTTCTTCGGTTGCCAATAGCAATATTAGTGTTCCCCAAAAAATTAAATGAATCACCATTAAGTAGAGGTGATTTAGGAGATTCGATTTTAGTATATGCCACTATTTCTCTTACTTTTCTTTCACATTGAACTGGATCAAAACAAGAATCATCCAAAATCTCTTTATGATGCTTCCAAAATAACGAAGGTGTCAATCCCTATATTAATATATAACAAATTATTAGGGTTTCTTTTAAAATATAATATTTTTTGGTTTAATTTACTCACAAGTGACCATGTCTCTTGATCATCTGCAGCACCTTGAATATACTGATACCCTTGTCGAGATTCCATTCCCATTGCTACCACTTTTGACGTACTGAGACAAATTACTGGATAGAATGGCAAACTGGTATAATCTGGCAGTAGTTGATTGTCAAATATATTTGAATCAGGTGTTATCCAGAGAGGGCGTAATGGTTTCGAAAGTTTTTGCAAGTATTTTGTAATATGCAATTTAGGATCCTTTATCAAAAAATTAATCGATTTAAATTTAATTTTATGTCAAAAGAATTATTTATTGATTAAATCAATTTACTTACTTACCAATAATTTTTCAACAAACTCAGGTATTCGAGCAGCGATTTGATCATGTTCAGATTTTGAGACGGTTGATGGGGGTGAATGGAATTCAATGTCCCATTCTTTATCGTTATCATTTGCATGATCAATATGCTGATTTTTTCTACGCAATATTGCAATCGCTTGATTTATTGTACAACACCAAATTGGGATTGTTTTTGACAAAGAATCAGGAATTCTTTTCCCACGGCGTGTAGAATCAACGATAATACATCTATTCTAAAATTCATGAGTTCTATCTAAACAATTGAAACAAGTAAAAATCAAAAATTACGTACCCAACATGCTCCACGATAATATCTAACAAATGACTATTGAATCGGCGTATATTGAAGCTCCATTGACCGGTATGTCCATCGGTAGATTTGAAATATACTGTTTTTGGAGATATCTAAAAAAAATTATTTAAATCGCAGAGAATGTAACGAATTCAAAATTTGATCATCTTTTTTGGTACCCTTTTTGAATCAATATACCAGGTACCGCATCTCTCGTTTCCTTTTTTGTTTTTAGATAATATTTTTAAAATGTCAAAATTAAGAATAAAAGAACCACAAAAATCTAATAGTTTAATACCAATAATCGGTAAATACGGTATCATCGAGATGACTTTATTAACAAACTTTGCGTCTTCATCTATTGATCTTAATCTGTTATAACTAAGTAATAAGATTTTATTTATTGAATGAATTTATTCCTTGATAATAAATGCCCATTACAAAAAAAAATAAATCAAATTGCGTTTTAAACTTACATATTCTCTTTATCTTTACGTATTTCTTCAATCTCATAATGCAAATCGCCAACGTCGATATCTGGGGATCTAAAAATAATATCCTCTGTAGTTATCGGCACCGTTTTATTTTTCATCTCTCTTCGTTGTTAAAGTTGGAATGTGTGTTGATTCCGAATTTACCTAGATTGATCCGGATTTCAATCCCACACAAATTCTGACTATTTTTAAATATCTACGTATATTCCCGAAGTTCACTCAGTTCTAGAAAATATTTATAAAGATATAGTTGCACTGAAGGAAGAATGCTAATACATAAAGATCCTTTTTTGTATTTATTTTCATTATTGCATTATTTTTTTAAATTCTTTTGTTATACAAAATAAAGTAAAAGTTCTAAGAATAGATATAGTTATTATTTTTAAGACAAGTTTAGAGTTTCTTTCTTGTAAGTTTTACTTTATAATATATAGCTCTTTAATATATATATATTTTCAAAATCAAAATAAAAACTTTAAATTAAAATAATTTTAGAATTTACTTTTTATTTATTTAATTTTTTTGAAATAATATATAACTATTCTAATAAACATAATAAAATAATTATAAGTTTAATTAATAATTGAATTAATTATTATTAGAATATTATATTCTAATTTGATTATTTCTGTCTTGAATAATATAAATTTTATATTATTTAAATTTAATTATTTAATAATATTATTATTCTTTTTGATATGAATTTATCTTTTACTAATTTTATATTCTAAATTATCATGTAATAATAGTAATCATGTAAATATGATACTAATAATTGTAAAATTAATAATAATTTTAAAAGAATTTTGAAAGTATATTAATAAGAATACAAGTTATAATTTATTAAGTTTTATCAAAGAATTCTTTTAAAAATAAATAATAATAATATTTAATATATAACTAACTAAAAATATAATTCAATTCAAAAATATAATTCAATAAAAATATAATAAATAGTTTATTAATAAGATAAATATTATAAATTTTTATAAAATTTATTTTACAAGATTATTTTTTAATGTTTAATTAAAAATTTAATAATTTAATTATCAAACTTATTTATTTTTATTAATTAAAATATATTATTTCTATATATTTTTAAGATTTTATAAATAATACTTTAGTTATAATACTTATATTATTTTTATTATATTTTAAATACTAGTTTAATTGATATTATAATATATAATTTTATTATAATAATATTATTAATTTAGCTATAATAGTTTTACTAACTTTTTTATAATAATTTTATTATAATTTTTATATTTATAAAATTTTTTATAAATATTTATAAATAATATTTTCTTAAATTAGTATTTAATAAAATATAATTAAATAATTATTTAATAAGATTATAATATAAATTAATTAAATAATAAATAAAATTTCTAATAAAATTTATATTATAATAGAATTCTTTTTATTAATATTTTACTTTATAAATATAAAGTAAAATATCAAGTTTTTATTAAACTTAATAATTTTTTAAAGTTATTTTTTTAAGTTTAATTAATAATAAATTTTCTTAAGTTTAATATAAATTATTTTATTAATTTTATTAATTATTTTTTAATATTATAATAAGTTATTATTAGTTATAATATAATTAGGTTTATTATAAAAAAAGAATTTTTTTCTTATTAAATTTATAAATATTATAGTATTTATAATTTTATTATTAATTTATAATTAATATTAACTCTTGAATAATTTTAGATAATTTAAATAAAATTTTATTAGTAATTTAATTATATAGATATTTAACTAATATATTTAAACTAATTTAGAAATTAATCTTATTTATAATATATTAAAGTTAATATTTTTATTAAATAATATTATAATTATTATTTTAATATTATATTAAAATAATTTTTATTTTTAATTTATAAAGTAATAATATTTTAATAAAGAGTTTGAATAAAGAAAATAATAAGAAAATTTATTATAAATTAAATAAAAAAATATTTATAATAATTAATATTTTATAGATAAATATAATTATATCTTTCTAAGTATATTCTTTCTAAGTATATATATTATATAGCTTCTTTTTAAATATATAATATATTCTAATCTTAGCTTATAAAAACTCTATATATTGTAATCAATTATCTATTTATGTAATATAATAGATGTAGTATAGTCATAATATGAGATATAATAATTACTGATTACTACTAAATTGAATGAACAAGAAATTTATATTAATTAATTTTATTTATAATTAATTCTATTTTTAGTTTATATTATTATCTATATTTAGTCT